GTCTCCCATCCAAGTACTAACCAGGCCCGACCCTGCTTAGCTTCCGAGATCAGACAAGATCGGGCTTGTTCAGGGTAGCATGGCCATAGACCATAATACGTTTGTTAAATGCACAAAGATGCATTCAGAATAATACAGTGAACCCACAAATTCTCATCACCTAGATCTAACAGTTGCCATTATCTTGCCGCATTTGTCTCACCTATCCTTTTTTTAATCTGTGAAAGTATTTTAAAGCGAATCCCAGATACCATGTCATTTTTTTCCCCCTACCTCAGTGTGTAGCTCTAAAAAAATATGGGTATTTTCTTAATTAGTATGCCATTATTACACATAACAAAATTATGAAAATTCTTTAGCATGATCTAATACCTAGTCTATAATCAAATTTCCCCAGTTAACTAAATAAAATTTACAGTAGGTTTGTTTGAGTCAGGATTTAATCTAGTCTCATGCTTTACATTTGTTTATTATGCTTCTATGCCTTAATACGGAGCAGGGTTCCCCTCTTTTTTCTTCATTGACTCGTTGAAGAAACAGTTATTTAGGGGAACCTTCCACTGCTCCCCTTCACTGTTTCAGAAGATCATTTTAGAAGTATAAAGGCTTTTCGAGGGGAAGAAGGAGGCAAAATTAGAAATGGCAGAGGTTCTCACAAAGGTAGAATTAGGATGATTTTTACTTACATTTAAAATTGTTTGAATATTTTTTATGATTAATGTGTTATTTTTATAAGCAAATACTTCTACTTCAAGAAAGGAGAAAAAAAAAAAAAAAGATTTGCAACAGGGAAACCAATTTGGAGCCTGTTTCTTAGTCTGAAAGGCAGGTGGTGAGGACCTGAGCTGTGGCGTGGAGATTGGGGTGGGGAGCAGGAGGTGGATTTGAGAGCTGCTTAGAAAGTAGGAGCACAGGGCTGGGGGGCTGGCTGTGGACTGAGTAAGAGGGCAGTATAGGGGTCGACTTGGGATTTCAGCTTGAGTTATTAGATGCATGGGGGTGCCTCAGTGGAAGATAGAGGTTATAAGAAAAGTGAGTAGGGTCTATGAGTGGCTCAGGTGAGTTCAATCTGGGCATGTCGAATGTGTGACCTGCTTGTGAGGTAGGCTGTTGTGTATATCCACAGACCTGAAGCTCAGGAGAGGGGTCCTTAGGTTTGAGAGTCACCAGAAGGGTGTCTGTGGGCACAGAAGAGCCCCTGTGTGGAGCGTGGGTGGAGGTAGAGGGCCCAGGAAGGAGAAGGAGAGTAAGAAGAGCACCAGAGATTTTGGGAAACTAGGAGAGAGAACTAGAAGTGTGTCCAAAGCCAGGGGAGGAGAAAGACTGAAGACTACTTGCTTCTGGTGAAGGAGAGGAGCCAGAGCAGTGGGGGAGGTTGGAGATAGTGCCAGGGGAGGATCTGGATCCTGGAGGTCTGAGTGGAGAGAGGGAGTGGGGTGTCCTGCGGAAACAGGAGAGGATGGCTACGGATGGGTTCTTTGGTTTTTAATTGCGGTAAAATATACATGACATAAAATCTGTTCTTTTAACCATTTTTTAGTGTACAGTTCAGTGGCCTTAATCGCATTCACATTGTTATGCAGCTATCAGGCTGCAGATGGTGTTGAGGTGGAAGGAGACGGGGCGTGGTCTCCATGGGTCTCAGAGGAACCTTGCTTACTGGAGCCCAGCCCTTTGCAAAAGCCACCACTCCTACAAACCTTTCATTGCTTCTCATCTACTTCCCTTTTCTCCTTTGAATCCCTACTTTAATACTTGGCTCCTTTTTTAGGGTACTTCTCTTGGTCTCAGTGCAGCTATCTTAGGCTGGTGAGGAAGATAAGCTTCTAGGAGCCAGGCCCTGTGCTACATTCAGCCTTGCTTCTTGAGGCACCAGCATTATTTTCAGGGCATGGCCCATGAGCCTTCTGTAAACGTGGAAGGAATGAATGGAAGTTTAGTTTTAGTTAGGAAGCTGATCGGGATTAATTAATAGAGTGGAACAGGGGACTGACAGTCAGGGTTTGGGGCAGAAGCCAAACCACTTTGCCTGTCCCTGGAGAGGTCTAATAGCATTGTATCTATATTTGGGAACAGCTGGGTTTCTGAGAGCACCCTTGTGTCCCCTCCCCACCCCCACTTTAACCATCCCCCCAAGGTGTAATTTGGGCCTCTTGCTATTCAGTTTATGCGCCACACTGTCTTATGTCAGGGGCCCTGGTAAAAAGCACCTTGGTTAACTGACTACTGAAACACCAAAGCCTTAAGAGTTTTCATTTTACTGCAGACTGAACTACAGCTATGTGTTGGCTGCAAAAGTTGTTAAACTGCTTGAAAAAGTGAGTTCCCGAAACAAGGAGAGAATAGTTGGTTCTCTGTACAGAATAAGCTCCATCAGGGACATTGACTTTGACCCTGGATACCTGATGTTAGAAGGAGTAAATGAGAACTCGGGAGCTTTGAGCTCCATTTCTCTTACAAGCGGGGGCCTGGGAAAGTCTGCATGCTCTCCTGCTCCATCCTCACAAGGAGAAGCCCTCTGGGGCAGCACTTGTTACTCTCATTTTACTAGTCATTTGCTACTTGCCTGTGTTCATATAGCTAGTTGTTTTTACTAGGGTTTCTGTTATATACTGAGGGGATTTAGAAATTGGAGCACATAGCAGGGAGTGACAGCACTGTGAGGAAAGGTGTGGATGCTCTATAGCATTTATCCAGAAGATGAGAAAATGTGGGAAGATCTTCAAATATTTGAATATGCCTGTTGGTAAGAGATAGCATGATGGTAGTGGAAAGGGCACAGACTTTACACTCTGATAACAGGTCTCCCTCTGGCTAGGTCATGAATGAGCTCCTTGAGGTTAGAGATGACGTCTCACCTGTCTGCATTGCCACAGCACCTAGCATGTATACTGGATATGGAAGCTGGGTGTATAGGAGTTACTCTGAATAAACAGATGTGAATAAAGGTGTCCTCCTCCTTTTCCAAAGCTTGACCCCTCTCTCCTTCCTCCAGTACCTAGATCTATAAAATGATCTGCCTCTACCTCCTACCTCATACTCATTTTCTATTGCTGCTTTAACAAGTTATCGCAAACTTAGAGCCTTAAAACAACACATTTATTATCTTCTAGTTTAGTTAAGGAGTCCGAAGTGGGCCTCACTGTGCCAAAGTCAAGTTACCTGTAGGGCTGTGGACCTTCCTGGAAGCTCTAGACAGATTCCATTTCCTTGCCTTTTCCAGCTTCTACACGTTCCCTGGCCAGTGGCCCTCTTTTATCTTCAAAAGCCGTAACATCTGGCCAGGTCTTTCTTTCGAATCACTTCACTTTGACATTGACTTTTCTTCCCTCTTCCATTAGCTCTATTTGATTACATTGGGCCCACCCGATAATCCAGGATAATCTCTCTTTTCAGGTTATCTAATTAGCAACCTTAACAATCTTTGGCAGGTTAACATAGTCATGGAGATTAGGACATCTTTGAGGGACCATTATTCCGTTTACTACATATACTAATAACTAACTCTCCTTTCACAAGCTTCTCTCTTCTCTGCCTATAAAACCATAATCACATTGCCCTTATCCTGAAATACAATTGGAGGAAATTTTCTTCTCAAGCTATGATCTTATTCCTTCCCTTGATCTTCTCAAAAATAGCCTCTATGATGTATTTACTCTTAGTTCCTTACTGTCTGCTGGAACTTATCTCTCCGAAAAAGTCCTGACACCTCCTCGCTGAATCCGTTGGCCATTTCCTGCTCAGGCAATTCCATATTCTTTGGCCCTGTGGATTTCCTGTCCTAGAAGCCCTCTCCTCCTTGCTTTCTGTATTCCTCTTACCTCTCTATTTCCAAATCTCCTTTTCTCTCTTCTTCCTCCTGTCCTGGAAGTCTTGGTCTCCAGTCAATTTATTTTCCCCTGATAATCTCATCCACACCCATGATTTTGATTCTGAACCTTATGTGGAGGATTCCCACATCTGCAGCAAGATAGAGAAGAGGTCATTACTCTGACTTCTGTATGACCCCTCTCCCCGCCCCCGTCTGAATTTCTTTTAGGCCTCTGGGGCTATGTGAACAATGCGCAGAATGTGTAACTTGTCTTGTTACCACTCCTTCATCCACAGGAGTTAAGTGTCTCCCTTGGTGACTCAGGCTAGGAATCTCCACAACCTCTGGTTCCTTTATTTGCATTTGTTTACTTCCTAGTCTCTGCCAATTCCCAGGTTTTCTAGTTCGTTTTGGCCAAAGAACCCTTTTTTAAAATGAAATCTTAATCATTTAAAAAATATAAATCAAAAGCAGGGATGTTCTGGTTGGAATGTGGGCAGGGCCTCTAGCCCTGCCTGTTCACTCTGATGGCAGGGAGGGGCTTTTTGATCTACATTTGGAAACCACAGGTACGAATCAGTATGGTTCAGAAGAGATTAAAAGTCTGATCATCTGGGACTTCAATAGTTAAAGGTCCCTAACGTCCTCCCTCATCTACCACATTCCTGCACACTGAGTTGACCTCACTCACTCCTGTAAGCAGGGATCACATCCTGTTAGACCATTTATCCACACCTTCTTCCTTTCCTGGGCAGGCCTTTGCACTCAGTAGTGTCTCAGTAAATATTTGTTGAATGAATGGGCAAATGGACACCGAAACTTGTTGGTTAAATTTATGTTTGGAAGAGCAGGCTCTGTCCTGTTTGGGTTTTCTTGAATTTACAAATGTGGTCCTTAAGTTCTGGGGTTCTGTGAAGTTTCATGTGGAGTCTGTAGGTCCAGTGTTACTTCTCCAAAGCGGCCCTGCAGTGCTGCCGCTAATCTACAGCAGTCTGAGGCATTGGCTTTTGTCACAGTTGCAGAGTGGCCCTCTTCCATGCCTCGTTTCCTTGCTTAATGGGTTTTGCTTAACTCTGTTTCCTAGTGTCAGTATAACCAAGTTTAAGTATGTTGATTAGAAAGAAACTTTTGTGTAATGTTACCGATTCTGTCCTGTACGTCTTGAACCTCATTACATGTGCTCTGACATTATGTAAAGGCAGCTAGGCTATGTGTTCTCTGTCCTGGCTGATGTCCTCCCCTGGAAAAGAAGAATGAATGGTTATCAGCTAGAACTGAGGTCTCTGTAGTGCATAAGGAGAAGTTGGCTTATTTTACTTTTAATGGATCAGCTGCTTCTCACCCCTTTGAATGTCCTCCAGCCTTTTAAACCTGGATGACCCAGCTGCCTGGCACTTTATAACAGTGCTGCTGGCCTTTTGGTCCGAGGGGAGGGGTACCTGGGTTTCTCTGGGGCTCTCAGACTCAGTTTCATGATGATGAGTCGAGGGGTGGGGGCATGACTCTTCTTTAGAGCTGGAATAGGTTTATTTTTGGTACATTTGTTTCGGGCTGCTTCTGAGAAGTCCAGGACTCACACTTACTAGGCACAGATTTTGCCCTAAAATGTTTTTATAATCTTAGGTTAGGTTAGCTTGCATGGCACCGTCATTTTGGCTTTTTTTAAAGACAGGTGTTTTCTATGTTTTTTCTGTTTCTTTTTGCTTCTCTTTTCTTTTTGCTTCTCTGTGCCTGCTCTTTCCAACTGATTTTTGCTGTGTACCCAAGTGGAGGCAAGACCAACTTGATGTCTTCTTCTGGTTTGCCCAGGTTGCAGATGAATACATGTTTTCCTTGGAGGAGAATAAGAAGTCTAAGGGCCGACGTCAGCCCTTAAGCAAGCTCCCCCGCCACCACCCGCTCGTGTTGCAGGATTGCGTCAGTGATGATGGTAAGTGTTGTCTTCTCTGTTCACCGGAAAAGAAACAGCTCACTGCATTAGGGCTTGCTCTGATGATTCAAGCAGGAGGCCAGGCTGAGGGCCAAGGGTGGGCCTGTGGCTTCGCTAGCTGTTCCTCTAGATACTGCATAAAGAGGGCAGAATTTTATATGATAACCTAATTTATTAACCAGATTTCATTATATCATAGAATGTACCTAATATAGGGTAATCGCATGCAGGTTCTTCCCTTTCTTCTCCTAAGAGGTACAAGGATGATTTTTCAGGATAGCAGACTCTCACTGATGCCAAGCCCTGTGCTGAATGTGTGGCTACAAAGATAACTAAGATATGTCCATGCCCTCAAGAAGCTCACAGGGAGGGAGTCAGGGCAAACTGACTGCTAATCAGATCTAAGGAAGGTAGTACTCCAGGTGGAGGGGGACAGAGAGTAACCATGGAAAAGAGAAACGGGAAGATCAGTATTAAGAGGAACCAGCTCAGTGTGGCCGGAGTTAGAAGGCCAGGCCAGGGAGTGTGAGGTTGGGGAAGTGAGGTGATTGAGAGGCTAATGAGTGAGGACTTTTTTTCATTGGCATTCTGGAGCCTTTGAACTGTTCTAAGCAGGAGAGCAACGTGGTCAGATTTACATTAGAAAGATTGTTCCTAGTGATTGCATCTTGAGAATGGCTTGAGAGGAGCAAATGGGCTTTTGTTCTGGTGCCCATGAGATATGAGAGTCTGAACTAGGATGGTGGAGGTAGGGATGGCGAAGGGGATGTAGTGAAGATGTTGTAAAGATAAAGTCAGCAGGATTTGGTGATTGGATGTGGAGCTGTGAGGGTGGTAGGGAAGGGAGAGGCATGAGTTGAGTGCTTCCCTGGTATCTAGCTACGGTTGGGTTTTAGAAACCTACATTCAGTTTCTGTGGAGGACGTAGACTTGGGTTTGTGCAGAATTGGTCTTTGATACTTTTACTAGGGTAAATGAGGCCTTTCAGGGAGAGGTGCAGAGGAGGGTGAGCAGAGCCTGGGGTTAGGAGGACAGAAGAAGAAGCGGAGCCTGTGAAGGAGACAGAAGGGGAGTAGGCAGGGATGTGGAGAACTTAAAAAGTGTGTACCTGGAGCGCAGGGAATGGTTGCCATCAGGCAGTGTGGTCTCCTGTGCTGCCTAGAGCCCAGAGATTCAGTAAGATTAGTGCTGAAGAGCCTCTATCAGTGACCAGATCCCTTGTTACTCTTACTGATGCTAGACCCTTTCCCATTTTGTTCTGTCCTTCCTGTGCCATTGGCTGGGTGGGAAAGTCCGGAGTCTCACTGGCCTTTCTTCCGTTCCACAAGCTCCCACATGTCTCTTCTGATCTGATGTCAATGCCCATCTCTGCTGTTTTCCTTGGTAGAAAGATCATGATAAGCTGCGTGGGGAGATTCTCTTGAGATTGTATAGTCAGAAGTAGGCCAGACCTTGAGCCAGAGTCTTAGGAGGTCCTCTGGTGTTCTCCAGCTAAAATGGGGGCTTCATGTTCTCTGGTGGCAATAGCCCAGTTTCATGATTCACCCCCTCCCCCATACTCTGAAGCCATGTAGGTTGTAGAAAATTGGAAAAGCAGTTTTAAAGAAGACAACAAAAATTAAATTACCTTGCAAAGGTGACCACTGTGAACATTTTAGTGTGTTAACCTTCCTGTCTTTTCTGCTCAGGTACCAAATTATGTCCATGTATGCCTTTTTATAATAACATAATTGAGATCATAATACATAGCCCCCCAACTCTTGATGAGAAAAAGTTTCAAACATGGAAAAGTTGAAAGAATGAAAGCACTGTGTGCTCTCCTGTATTCAGCAGCTGTTACCATTCGCCTTCACTGCTTTCTGTCTCTTCCATCTGCATTGTTTATGTATGTACTATGTGGATAGATATTTGCTGTATCATTTGAAAATAAATTGTAGTCATCAAGTCACTTCACTTAAAGTTCACCAATAGGCATCTCCTTAGAAGGATTATTTCCTATGTTAACACTACTGTTACCACATCTAGGAATATAATAATTCCATAATATCCTCTAATCTTCAGTCCATATTCATTTTCCCCTGCTTATCCCAAAAATGTGTTTTATAGCCTTTACCCCATCAAACCAGTACAAACCAAACAAGGGTCACAAATTTGAAAGTTTTGGTTTTTTTTTTAGTCTCTTTTAGCCTAGTGTGCACATTCCCACCACTTTAATTTTTTTTCAATTAAAGCATAACTTATTCAGTGAAATGCACACATCTTCACTGTACAGCTCAATGAAGTTTTAAATATGTAAACTTTAAACTTTGATTCCCACAATTTTCACATAACTAGTGAACATTTTTCATCATTCAGTTTTCACAAGCAGAATGATTTGGCCACTTACAGTTTTGTAAATAGAACAGATATCAGTGTGTTAATTTTTCTGTTGTGATTATGAGGCTGTCTGTTTCTTCTGTCATATATTGGTCACCTTCTTATGGCTGGGATGCAGAAAATACCTGTGCTTTGGTTTTGGCACCATGTTCATGTTCCTGGCTGTCCTTGATAATGGGGCTAGTAGGGATTGATTTTAATTGTCTGCATTGGCCTCAGTACAGTATGGTACCCTTCACTGAGGTCACACATGGCAGCTGCCATGTCCCTTTAGATTAAACATGACTATAAAGGTGGACTGGATAACAATTTACCTGCACTGAGTTCTGAGCTTGAACTGCCACAAGTGAACAAATAGATGGACATCTAGTGCAAGTATATACCAGAATGTTCCTTGGGCTGCTCTGCGTGGAGCTCCAGGGTCTCTTGGAAAGAAAGCACTTCTGTCTAGGAAGAACTGAGATCATTGGGGAGGTTGTAGGTAGGGATTGCTGATGCCCAGACATGGCTAGATGTAGTGATCCCACAAGGTGCCTCATGTGGTGGGGCTGGCACAGAGCTGGGCTGTTGGTCACGTGCTCCATACTTCCTTACTTAGGGAAGCATCTGGAGAAACATTTTGGACATCAGTTTATTTTGATATTTGCTGCTATGTCTCCCAAAGATTGCCCTCATTCACCGTAATGTTGATTATGGGGTTTCCCTTACCTTCTTGACTTTGTTTCTACTGGAAGCTAGTGGGCTGTGCCCTTCTCTCACTGATTTGGGGGAACTTTATCGCTTCCATCTTGTTTTGTGAGCCCAGTTTTTTTGTTTTCCATCCAGCGGTGTGTACTGTTTTTTGGAGAAGATACACCCAGAGGGGATTTCCTTTTCCAAACAGTGCTGAGGCCCAATGAAGTATGTTCTGCTGTCTAGAGTAATGAAGAGATAGAAATTTGTCATCTAGACCAGGGTTCTGTGAAGGACCAGATAGTAAATATTTTAGGCTTCGTAGGCCTTAGGTCTCTGTCACATATTATTTTTTTATTTTTTTATTTTTCCCTCAACCCATTAAAAACGCAAACACAATTCTTAGCTACCTGAGCAGGCTGGATTTGGTCCATGTGCCAGCCCCTGGTCCAGATGCAAGGTATTACATTCTGTGGCTGAGAAGAGGCTTCATGCTCTGCCTTCCTCTGAGACAGAGCTAGGAGGTCCATGAGCCCTGTCCAGAAAAGGTACATACCCTACTGACCTTTTCAGAGGGAGCTGGAAACTTCTAAGGATAATGTAAAAACTTTTAAACCTTGCCACTTCCCTGGGATTTTTTTTTCCCCCATCCCTATTTTCCTTCAGACTCTGAAAAGGTTAAGGACTCAACATGCTGACATATCGGAGGCCTCAAGTAACATGGTTTTTGGCAAGACAGTGTTTCATTCTGCTGCCCTTGGTCAGAGGAATTGAATTCTGGCAACTGTTAGGGGTGAGGAGAGCAGGCAGAACTCCTAGGGCAAGAAAGAGAGTAGAGATCATGAATCATTCTGGCCAGAGAAAGGGCTGTAAGATGCACTCCCCACAACATCATCCGAGTGGTGACAGAGTTTATTGAAAATCACTTCTGCCTTTGGCCTTTGTCACCCGTAGGATCTTGGGACTGAGAGTCCTGGCTGAGCTCATCTGCTCTGCAGGCAGAGCCACGGCTGCAGGGCTGGTGCTGACTCACATTCTGCTTCCTTCTCTAGAGACATCTGAACAGCTGATACCTGAGGAGGAGGCTGAGGAGACAGAGGCCTGGGCCAAGCCCCTGAGCCAACTATGGCAGAACCGACCCCCAAATTTCGAGGCCGAAAAGGAGTTCAATGAGACCATGGCCCAACAGGCCCCTCACTGCTCTGTCTGTATGATCTTTCAGACTTACAATCAGGTGAGCCCAATCCATCCCCTCTGTTTGCCCAGAACCAGCAGTCAGAGGGAAGCTTGGTTAATTGTAGGTACAGAGCTTGTCACTGGTTGTCTTGGGAAAGGCATGTTTTTCTAGTGTTCTCTGCCCCATCCGTGTACTGATCAGGCTTCTCTAGGCAAATAACCTAACATTGTGGGTTTTTAATTAAGCTTTGGAGACAAGCTTAGGGTGAAGCTTAGGCTCGGGGTGGGATTCCCTGTGCCCCTTGGTACTCACGCTGTTTGAAGAGGAATTTGTACTTTTGTTATCTTTCTAGTCGATGATTATTTCTTTCAGGTGATCTGTAGTCCTGGCTAGTCAGTCTGGAGGACTGTGTGTTTCTTTACTGTAGTTTGAGTTTCGGATGAAAAACTACATCCTCCAGTGTTCTCTTTTTTCCTTTCCCATTGCCGCAGAGGATTTATGGGAAGGAGAGGGTAGGAAGGTGCTGTGGCCGAGCTCAGTTGTGCCCCTCACTCCCACTGCATTTGATTGCTCCACCATCATGGGTCTCTTTGGGTCTAGCTCTAGGAGGCCAGGAAGCCATCCACAGAGCAGCATGTGCTAGGTGACTACCTCAGTCTCAGTGGGGACCTGCACAGGTCCCAACCACAGTTCCCCAATGAGTGGTTAAAAAATGGCATGGCTGCCACTGAGCCTGGCAGGGTTTTAGATTCATGTTTGCCAAAGAATGAAACCTCAGACCATTACACCTTGTACTGAACTCACTGCTTCTTTCCATTGACAAAAAGCAAAACTGAAGAGCCTTATATGCCCTTGCCTGTGAGGGAAGTGAAAGGCCTGGCTGTATTGTCAGCAGATCTACTAAGTGGAGCTGAGTTTCCTGAGTGGCATAGGCTTAGAGTTGACTTCTGGGTGCTGTCCTTGGAATGGGGGCGATGGTGCCATCCAGTGGCAGAGCCAACAGATATTTGTAGTTAGGATGTTTGCCAAGGGATGTATGTGGACATACTGTTCTTCCTGAAGGGGCCCCAAGTGGGGAATTGGAGTTGGGACTGTAGCTCAGGTGACCTTCTGGCATGGACCACAAGAGGAAATCAGTACTGGCCCATAGGGAGCATCTGCTCTGGGTGCTCTCCCTGGGTGGGGGCCACCATGCGGCACAGCGCATAGGGCAGCCCACAGTAGCAGCCTTGCTAACATCTCAGTGCGTTTTATTACCACTTGGTTTGGGAAGATTGAAATCCCAGTTGCCTGTTACCTCACTCCCTCTTCTCAGTTGTCCCTTAGGGGCCTTTGTTTGATACTGCTGTGAGAAATTGAATTTGAGTCATTAGAGGTAACTTCAATTAGCAGCTCGGGGATAATGGCTGTGCACCCGGGAGTCATAGCCATAGTCATATAAGTAAGAGAGCCAGCTT